CCTCATCCCGCTGTTTTCCAGCATCTTTTGTCATCACCCCCCACAGCCGGGATGGATCCGGTGCCGCAGGAACCACACGGAATTCCCACGAATTGCCACGGGATGTTCATTAGGGATTAATAAATTAATTAATAAATCACTCAGTTCCTGCCCAATCCCCCCCTCCCGTGTCCCAAATCCCAAATCCAGCGAGGATCCGGCACAGCAGCTTCTACTCTTTTTTTTTTTTGGGGGGGGGATTCATGGCAAACTGGGATCCCGGTGCTGGAATTGGCTCACTTCCAGTTTTGGGGATGGTTGGGGGGTGGGGAGTCTCTAATTCCATGTATCCCAGTGCCATGGGAACGATGTGGGGTCTCCAGTTCCGTGTATCCCGTTGCCATGGGATTTCGGGAATGGTTGGGGTGTGTCCGACTCCTCCCCATCCCGCCTCCCTGTGGATCCCAGCGGATCCCGCCCCCTCCCGCCCGTCCCGGCTGGAGCAGAGGGAGCAGCTCCCGGTTTCCCATCACATCCCGCCCTTCCCTTCCCTTCCCGGCTGGAGCAGCGGGAGCAGCTCCCTCTTTCCCGTCACATCCCTGCATTCCCGGCTGGAGCAGCGGGAGCAGCTCCCTCTTTCCCGTCACATCCCTGCATTCCCGGCTGGAGCAGCTCCCTCTTTCCCGTCACATCCCTGCATTCCCGGCTGGAGCAGCGGGAGCGGCTCCCTCTTTCCCGTCACATCCCTGCATTCCCGGCTGGAGCAGCGGGAGCAGCTCCCTCTTTCCCGTCACATCCCTGCATTCCCGGCTGGAGCAGCGGGAGCAGCTCCCTCTTTCCCGTCACATCCCTGCATTCCCTGCCCCGTTCCCTGCTGGAGCAGCGGGAGGATCTCCCCGCTCAGCCGGTGTCTCTTCCCTCCCCACTCGAAGTGCGTGGGGGGCCGCTCGGGCCCGTCCCCGTAGGTGAAGCGGGGGCTCCACTCGGCGGCCAGCGCGGAGCGCACCAGCCCCACGCCCCCCACGCGCGGCGGGGCCGGGTGGTAGAGCCGCCCGTTCCGCGGCAGCACCGCCAGCCCCTCGGGCCGGAACGGCACGGCCAGGGCGGGGCCGGCCCCGCACCAGGAGAGCTGGGAACGGCCGGCGGGGCCCGGCAGGAGCTCCGTGAACACCACGGGCCGGTCCTCGCAGCGCAGGAAGTTTCGCTCCCGCCCGCAGCGCGAAAGGAACGGGAATTCCAGCTCGTAGCGCCCGCTCCGGTTCCGCTCCAGGTGCTTGAAGAAGAAGGACAGGAAGGCCACGTCTGGAGGGAGGGGGAAAAGATGGGATCAGATCCTGGGATGGAGGGATTTATGGCTCCCCGGGGGGAAGGGAATTCAGGGAGGAGCTCCCGGGATGGAGGGATTCTGGGATGAGCTCCTGGGATTAAAGGGTTCCTGGCTGAACTCCCAGGATCGAGGGATTCAGAGCTCCCAGCATTAAGGGATCAGCTCCTGGGATGGAGGAATTCAGGGATCAGCTCCCGGGATGGAGGGATTCTGGGATGAGCTCCTGGGCTCTGCAGAGGGATCTGGATAGGCTGGAGAATTTGACTGATTCCAACGGGATGAGGTTCAACCAGGCCAAGTGCCGGGTCTGCACTTTGGCCACAACAACCCCTGCAGCGCTACAGGCTGGGCACAGAGTGGCTGGAGAGCAGCCAGGCAGAAAGGGACCTGGGGGTGCTGATCGACAGGAGGCTGAACATGAGCCAGCAGTGTGCCCAGGTGGCCAAGAAGGCCAATGGATCCTGGCCTGCAGCAAGAACAGTGTGGCCAGCAGGAGCAGGGAAGTGATCCTTCCCCTGTACTCTGCGTTGGTGAGGCCACACCTTGAGTATTGTGTTCAGCTCTGGGCCCCTCAGTTCAGGAAGGACATGGAGGGGCTGGAGCGGGTCCAGAGAAGAGCAAGCAGGCTGGGGAAGGGACTTGAGCACAAGTGCTGTGAGGAGAGGCTGAGGGAGCTGGGGTTGTTTAGTCTGGAGAAGAGAAGGCTTAGAGGTGACCTCATCACTCTCTACAACTACCTGAAGGGAGGTTATAGCCAGGTGGGGGTTGGTCTCTTCTCCCAGGCAACCAACAATAGGACAAGGGGACATGGGCTCAAGCTCTGCCAGGGGAGGTTTAGGTTAGATGTTAGG